ATCCAAAATAAATATCTAAAATATATATATATAAAAAAAATAATAAATCAATTGGAACTAGACTTTCACAAGCAATGAGTCTATTTTCAGATAATTCTTATTGATAATAAAACTGAATGCAACCTTCCTCTCAAGGTGGTGTAGACTCTGCTACAAATTAAGGCCTGGGACCCTCTTCTCCCTCAGACTCTGGGCCTCTTTCCATCCAACAAAACCCTCTACTTCCATGTACCCCCACAGCAATGAATCAGACCTCCTGGGCCTGCTGATGCCATGTGTACAAGCCTGGAATCTGGGATTGATCAGCTGGAACTATTTTTCAAGACACTCTCTCCAGCATGATAGGCTTCTGTTTCTGTGCCGTTTTAGAGCATGATGTTGTGATTCCAGAAACCTAACTTTTCCAAGCTAGACCCGAGGCAAGAATTCTTGGGTTCCTCAAATATATATTTCCTTAAATCCAAGAGGATTTAAACTACAGGACAAAAAAAAATCCTTCATATCAGAACCTCTACTATGTTTTCTCTGTCCTACTCTTCAATAACAAGGAGAAATTTTCTTCCTTTTTAGGGATAGGAATCCCAAGTCATATCTTGCTTGCCAAAATACCATGCCTTAGAGTAACTCTCTGGTGTTGTACTCCTGAGCTGTATTTTTGACAAATGAAAGAAAATTTGGGGGAATTTAGAAAACCCTTAATCTCTCAATAAATCCTGGCTAAGGTAAATTTCTTTCCATGGACCCAAGGCACCTAACTTGAAACTGAAAACTCAGTAATTACTCCCTGCCACATCTACTCAGGCATGGGTTCCTGTCCCTGAACTGTTTGTTACTGTCTGAAACAATTAAGTGCAGGACTTGAGAGTGGTTAGAAACTTTTATGGACCTTTGACAGACTAATTTTTGTGTCTTCAACTTAATAAAAAAATTTTCCTCCATTATAAATGTCTGGTTTAAATGTATTTGTTTCTAATAATTCATTTCATGCTTTTATTGTATTCTATAAAATAGTGCATTATAATTTTTTTAATTGTCCTTAACTACAGATAATCTGAAAAGCACTGTTCTAGGTTGTATCTGAACTTCCCCCTTAAGAAAAGGCATGCCAATGTCTCCACAGATGGAGAAACCACAGGAAAACAGAACTAAGTGTTTCCTAGAATAAAAATGTAGTGGCTTCCTATCTTAAAATAGGTAACTATGCAGCCATCACCTTAATTCTCTCTTTTAAAAGGGTTTTTTTTTTCAATTTTGAGGTAGAGTCTTGCTAAGTTTCCCAGACTAGCCTTGAATTTGAGTCCTTCTGCCTCATGCTCCTGAGTACCTAAGATTACATGTATGTGCCACAGGGCCTGCCACATTAATTTTCTTGAAAAATAAAAATGTACCTTCTATTCTAAGGAAAAAAAGATAAAACTAAGCTTTATACAATAAAAAAAATTCTACCAGATACAATTGCCCTTTGACCTATCTCAGTTGAGTTAGACCTAAATCCTAGTGGATATAAGAGATCAGCACTAAAGTATTATTTGCAGTCTACCCATTATTAAGTGCATTAGCTAGGGATAGATTCAGTTGTAGCAAAATGCGTTTCAACAGTGCAATGGCTTAAATAAGATAATGATAACTTTTTTTTCTATGTATTCATCCTGAACTAAGTAGTCTAGGATCAGAGGATGGCTCTGAGATGTTTCAACATGTGGGTCCTGTCATAGGATCCAAAGAAAGTTATGCATTTTTCACAGTCTCTCAGTCAGTGAAAAGGAAAAGTTTATGAGGAGGTGCACACCCAAATAATTCCTCTAAGGGCAAGACAAGTAGTCTTCTGCTAGATGAAAAATTGTTCTGTTAAAATCCCATTTCTATTATTGATGGGAAAAAATAGTCTTCCAAGTACAGAATCTCAACAAGCTGAATTTTTTTACAAATCTTGAGATTTCCTGAACTAGTCAATGTGTGGCACTTAAAATTATATAGTTAGATACTTAAATAATTATCATTTTTCTGGAGGTTTCTAAATTAAGTGCATGTTTTTATTATATATATAATTTTATAACTTATTAAAAACTTTCACAAATATTGTGATCATGACAAATGGCAAGGTTGATGATTCATTTTGTAAAAAGAAAATAAAACTATAATTTATACATTGAAGCTTCAAGAGTATATATAAAATCTGAGCAATCTTTAACCAATAAATAAATTAAGTCTGTAATTAAAAAACCTTTCTACAAAGAAAATCCTAGTCAAAGATTGCTTCACTGGAAAGTTCAGCCAAATAGTCAAGGGATAAATAACTTCAATCTTACACAAACTATCTAGATATAATGTATAAACAGGCACTGTGAGGGAAAGGTATCCTAGGCAGAAACAGCATGTGTAGGGACACAAAGGTAGAAAAGAGTACAGTGATTTGGAGGAATGAATTGTGCAGTACAACTGGGGCTTAGGAGCTATATAGGAAGGTCAGAAGATGAGGCTAGAAAGTAAGGCGGAGGAGGCCAGGGAATTTATTTTTGTTCTATAAACAATTAGGATCCATTTATAAGGTCAAATAAGATCTGAATTTACCTATAATGAAGGTCTGTGGTGCTAGATGACCCTGAGATAGTATTTGCTTTTCATGAAGGAAATAAACATGTCTATAGAATAAAACTTAACAGTACCAACTGAAAATATTTTGCTAATATCCTAGAAAGTAGGAAATTTCAACTATCTCTACCAGTGCCTTTGAAAGGAGTCCTAATCACAAATCTCTTCAAAGACTCATAAGCCTGCACCTGAAATGGCAGGTATGCTGACCACAAGCTGCCTTACATCTGGGCCCAGGTGTTACTCTTTATGATAGTAATAGCTAATATTTATTGAGCAGTCTGTGCCAGATACAATGCTAAGCACTTGACATGAAATATCTTGATTAATCCTCACAGTAATTCTGGGGTGCTGTGATCTGCCTGCAGTTTACTGCTGAAAAACAAGCCTGAAATTGGTTAGCACCTTGCTCAATATCACTGTGCTACTAAGTAGTAGAAAGAAGACTTGAACTTTCATCCGACTACAGCATCCATGCTCTTGGCTACTGAGCTGTCAGACCCAGAGCAGATGTCATTACTGGTCAATACACTCTCATTCATGCAACCTGGGCTGGGCCCCCCAAATTCTTTTAGTACAGTGCTCTAAGAAGCTACTGTAGGTTGATTAGAATTGGTCATGAAACGAGACTAATTGCTGTCCTTGCAATGTTATACCCTAGTGAAGTCATCTCAGCTGCAGCCTTGGTTTCTGATTCAACATAAGTAATGTGCACGCTGACTTGCCACCATAGGTTGTATTCTAGCATCTTTACTTGGACTTTGTATATTAGAAGACTACTTCTAGCCTACTTTCCCAAGCTGACCCACATTGGTCATTTTGTTGGTGTGGAAAAACTACAGAAGTCATTCAAACCACCCATAAAAGCTGTCAGTATGAATTTAATGTCTATACTGAATGACTATAATGAATGACTTTGAGGAGAAAATTGCAGAATGATGCTATGCCCCTGTGCTACACCATCCACATATATGGATTGATTTAATTAATGCAGAAGCTAGAGGCATGGTTGAAGAATTAGAGTTGATCTGGATTTCAGGAAATATTAGATGAGTGTATTAGTAGGTATTTCCTATAACACATTAAAGACACTTCATCATTCTGTACAAAGAATGATGAGGAGCTCTTCTGGGCAGATTGTTCCATCTTAGAGCAACTGTTGTTCCTTTTATCTCCAAACTCTATGGCAAACACAGTTTGTCACTAAGTATTTACAATTCATGAACAGTGTGGCTAGAAATAATTCAGAATGGAAAATGGTGAGTTCAAGGTGGGGAAAGAGGAGGGGTCCCTTTGAAGTAAGGGAAAAGCTGGAATGACCCATGCAGCTTTGGATCCAGTCCTGGGTAGGGCAGCTGAGTGATCCAGGAACAGGGTAAGTACAGGTGTAAGTCAAATCCAGGAACTGAGGGGGTTGGGTAGGCAGAAGTTGGTACTGGAAGCTCTGCCAATAGGCTAGAAACAACCATGGCTGAAATGTGAACACCAGATGCTGGTCTTGGGGAGGAATAATGGCAGAGGTTAAGTGAGGTACCAGGTTAGATGCTCAAGATTGGTCTCCCTAGAGAAAGCGATGACTAGAGCAAATTCAGCAATTATCTCAGGTCAAAACCCAAGCATGAAAACTGGGACAATATGTGGGAGTACAGGGAGGCCAAGGGAAGTTAAAATAATTTAAAAGTAGCTTAGGCATCCAGATCCTGGGACACTGGCTCCTAGGAAGAGCTGATCAAGAAATAGGCCCCTTTTGGAGTGGTGACGGGAAAGAGAACAGACATATGTTCTAAATTTGTCAGATGCATGGTGCTTAAATACCCCATCTCTTGCATTCTCCAGATACCTTCAGAGACATTAAGACTGACCCAAGATCACAATTTCTAAGTGATATGGCCAAGATCCAAACTCATATATGGCTCAAAAACCTTAGCTGTCTCTACCTGTCAAATTGTTTCTAGAAGAATCTGGCCACCTGCAGCTGAGAAAGACGGAGGCAACAGACACTGAAGACCCAAGAAAGGGATCTGATTCTCTCATTATCTCAGTGGATTCAAATCTGTCCGGGATTAGAGTCTCTGAGAATGTTTTAAAAAGATATTGGGGCCAGCACAGGAGAAACTGACTTAATTGCCCTGTGATGGAGTTGGAGCACTGGTGTTTTTCTTTAAAAGTTCTTCTGGTGATTCCGATGTTTAACCAGCATTGAGAACCATTAATCTTCCTTGTTTTATAGCCCTTTAACTTAGTTGAAGACATTCAGGCCTACTGGTCAGGGGAGAGAAGCTGAATACTCCAACTGGTAAAGGCTACTATCACCCAGGATGCATTTCCTTTCTCATCTACTCCCAGGATGCATTTCCTTTCTCATCTACTCCTAACTTGTAATTTGGTCTTTCTTCTTTGGCTCTCAGGTCCTATGCTGCTGTGGATGGAAACATCAAGTTCTTGTTCAGACTGTGGAATCCAACCCTTAGCCTCCTTTCTAAATGAGCAGGAGCCCTGGGAGCTGCAAACAGACTGGGCACTGTGTCCAAGAAACCAGCTAACGTGGGCTGCAGTACATGGAGGTGAGAGAGGAGCTCCAGGGGGAAAAAAGGTTAAATTCAGGAGAAATTTCCAAAGAGTCTACATCAAAGCAGAGGATTGGGCAAGGAGATTCTAGCAATGAGAATGGGGGAAAACAGCACACAGAGGAAATGGATCATAGCAGATCTCAGGAAGTGGGGCCTGGAAAAATCCTCCAAGGTAGAAATGCTACCTGCAGCTGCTGTTCACCAGACACCTGTGACGTAGGGCTGGGTGAGATCACCACGTGGCATGGTCTGGACCTAGCTGTTTACCAGCTTGAGCTCAAGGAATTAGTGTGTGGTTATCCTTGTGCTGGCTCACCTTCAAACAAAAAGTTTGGCTTTTGAAAGCCTGGAGTAGAATTTTGGAGATCAGCCAAAGAGACTGGAAGATTTCCTCTTACTGTGTTGGCCTATGTTGTTGATTTTGCTGCATTGCTGACTTACCTAGATCAATTCCATGTATACTGGACTGAAAAATTAGAAATCAAATAAACACCTACTTCTCCTTATTTTTTTTAATAAGGACAGCAGCTGGGAGCTGACTAAGGAGGACTCTGTGACTGGACTGCTTAGATGGGCCCAGGATCAGAATTCAAGTCACTTTTGTGAGTTCTTTGTGTGTGTGTGTGTGTGTGTGTGTATGTGTGTTCTTAATTTCTTGCTAATTTCCCCCTCCTCGGTACCATTACTTTTCACTTTGAGCCATGGTTTGAATTAATTTGACCCATCCTTCCTAGACAAAACAGAACTAAAGAGGCCTTTGAGAATTATCTTGTCCAGTTCTTTATCAGCATCTCTATCTAAAAGACACAGATACCCGGAACTCAAGATGGTCTTACTGAATAAGAAATCCCACAGGTTCTGTCTTCTTGGATTGCTGTATTTTTCATCCAAACTGACACCTACTTTAATTATTCTGAACAGAGGAAAATCTACCTTGTGTATGTTGAATTTATGGCTACGTTTCATGACAATAAAAGTGCTATGTGCTTTTTGACTTAGGTACACTTTTGGTACATAGAATCATTGCTGTGGCTGATGTTTGCTGAGTCCACTTCCGTTTGCCTCTCTACCTTGTGCATCAGGATTCTGACAGAAACTCTACAGTGGAAAGTGATCAAAAGCATTTAATTAACCAGCTATTATTAACCTCTAAGACAAGATCTCTTCTCCTTTTTCTGCCCTCTTGTTCTCCCCCATGTCCTTGGCCTGACCCTGCCTCTTAATTCCCATTGTGGCTCCTCCTGCTTTGCAATGAACATTTATTCATCTGAATGCATTTGCAGCTTACATTATGAGCAAATTCTCTTCTCACTCAAACTTGGCCATTAAGCCAGGCATGGTGGTGCACGTCTGTGATCCTAGAACTCAGAAGGCTGAGCCAGAGGATCACTGTGAGTTCAAGGCTAGATTTAGCTACACAGTGAGTTCAAGGCCAGCCTGAACTGTGCAGTGAGACCATCTCAAAACAAACAAACAAACTTGGCCTCCATCTCCATTGGGCCTAAGGCCAACTTTCTGTCCATCCTTGGTAAGGTCCCATGGGTGAGAATAAGATACCAGGACTGAGCATCCTAATGAAAACCATAGCAGCTTTGTTCTCAGGGAGGGCTTGCAGGTGGGCAATCAACTTGTCTTGTAACTGGACTGAGCTGGTATGCCCAGAGCCAGTCCTTGGACATGGACACTGAGTATTGGAAGGAGGCACAAATTCCAATGGGGTACAGTACAACATTGTGACACTCACAAAGAGTCAAACCAAGTCCTCGGAAATATGTCCCAAATCCTTGGAGGATGAAGGGAGAAGGACCTTCTTCTCCCTGGAAGAAGCACTGAAAGCACTATAAGAAGCAAAGGAAGATGGGGGAAGGGGTTAAAAATAACACGGGAGGTGAATTAGTGAGCTGAAGCAGCCTAGAACTAACCAAGATTGTGGAAACATGGAAAGAGTGATGGTGATGTGGAGGTCAGTGTTAGCAAAGGCACAGGTGGCCTTCAGAATGCTAGGTGGGGTGATTTGACTAGCTGGGGTCAACCCAGAGATTTCCAGCCAAGTCAGCATGAATTAGCAGCCAGGACCACCAGGTGGTGCTAAAGTAGAGGCCACCAGGAGCCCACCAGGGAGAGCGTTTGAAAGGGCAGAGGGTCCCCCAGGTGTATTGGTGGTGGCCCAAAGCATAAAGAGTACTTTGGTCCTCCCACCCCTGAACGTCCTTGTCTGGGCTAGAAGCTAAAGTGCATGCTCTACGTTTTTGCTGGTGACAAAATTCCCTGCTGGCCTCTGGTTAACTTTTCAAACAAATGGTACTGGTGTGATATTGGGCAACTCTGGGTGTCACTGACCTACGGAGGGGGATGGGGGCTATTTGCTTCTCATTTTCCAATTCAGTAAGAATGTCATACTGGCACCCCAAACCTGATGAAGTATTTAAGAACCTAGCATAGTGCCTGACCCCCAGCAAGTGCCTAGTCTACATCAGTTCTCTTCCTCAGTAAACTTCCTTCCTCTCAGCCCCATAGCTGCTCCTTGTGCCCATCAGAGGTGAAGCTCTTGGCCCTCAAGCCGGCAGACACCCCTCTGGCCAGAGACCTTTTTGTCCCACTGCTTTTGATGTCCCAGATTTCTCACTGGGAGGCCTCAACAGCTGCCAGGGGCCACCCCGGGAGCTGGAATCTCAAAGCACAAACAGCAACACGCACAGTTCTTCTCTCCCTCTTGAAGCAGCTCCAGCCCCATGCCCAGCCTGTAGCTTTGCTGCCAAGCATACCCTTGCATGCCCCCCTGTCTCACAATGTGTTTCTAATCTGCCCGGGAACCATCCCCAGTTCTGCTTTCCTGACTGCTCTAATCAGCTTGGCCTCTGGGCCTTGGCAGGCTGGCGTCCCGGGGTGTGCAGCCCAGCGGCTTGCACAGAGGTGATCAGATTGCAGGGAACAGTATGTTTTCTGCCCTGCTTCAGCTTGTTTTCTTCAGGAGCTGAGCCAGCCAGCTGAGCTGTCTTCCTCTCCCTCCCCGCCCTTCCTTGAACCACATGTGCTCTGGCTTCAGTATGCAGGGCTGAGAGCAGAGCCGGTGGAGGCACAGGGCCTGCAGTGCCTCTTGCAGCAGAGTGGGCTGCAGGCATGTTTGCTGCAGGGCACAGGGTACTGCTGCGTAGGGGCCATGCCTGGGAGCCAGGCAGAGTGGAGGAAGAAGTCCAAATGGGAAATTTGTGCAGACTGGTTCTGGCCAGATCTCTTTAAATGTTTTATTCTTGCTTTGCTGCTATATATTGAATTGTCACCTCTCTCTTCACCTCACAGTGGTGACTTTACCTCTTCCTTTCAGGACCTGCATCCCTTTCATCTTCTCTAGTATTAAAACTTGCCTTCAGGAAAGGGCCTGAAACCAGCTATTCATATTTTGTGTTACTCAAGGAAAAAAAAATCACAGTAGTCACAAAGTGGACTTTGAAATGACCTAATAGCAGCCTCATTTGGTAGATGGGGAAACCAAAGCCTGAGAGATGATGTATCTCATTTAAGTTTCCATAGCAGATCTTGGAAAGGAACCTTTTCCTTGGGTCCTGCTAGAGGGTTCCATTGCTACTGATAGAAGAAAGGCCTGTTCTGTGTGACCAACTGTTGCTCAGGATAACCCAAGTGGGCCCTCTGCCAGATGTGGGAATCTGCATAAAGCTCTTGCCCGGGACCTGCATCTGGCAGAGCTCACTTGGAGTGTGTGGTGGGAACTATCCTAAGAATTCAGAGTGAAGAGACAGGAAGAGGAAGGACAGCAGAACTGTTGGGATTACTATGGTGCCTGCTCTTCTCCCAGGTGGGCCAAGCAGTCTCCATGTCAGGGACAGGAGGCAGCCCTCGGTCCCTCTGGAGTCTCTTTGGCTGAATAGCACACACTGCATCTGCCATGCAGTAGACTCCTTCGGTTTCTAATACTTGTTTTGCCTTTGGCCTACACCTTTGATCTTAGACTCCTTGCCCCAGTATGCTAGGGAAGTCATTATCATACTCTTTGCAGTCCTCTGAGATAAATTTGGAGGAAGTAGGGAAAGTTTTTTGAACCTGGAATCAGAAGAGCTGAGTCTGGTTCCTGCTTGACTCTATACTAGTGTCTGACCAAAAGCAAATCAGGGTTGAAAGAAAGAGCTCATTTTTTTATAGGTCAGGATTTTAAGGCAATGGTTGAGTCAATCATTTGTATGTTCATCACCACATTCAAAACCATTCATTCTAGTGCATCCACTTTTGTATCTAAAGCTGTGTTTTCTGTATTCTAAGAAACCACTGGCTGCAAGGCACAGCAGAGAATTAATAATGTGTCAAATAAAAGACATGGGATTTCTGCAAGGTCAGTCTGAAAATCGAGTTTTCTGAAATGAAAAAACAAAAAAAACCCCACTCCACTGGTATAATTACCATTTTGAAGTGGGACTGGCCTAGGTAAGGGCGGAGGAAGTCTGAGAGCACACAGCTATGTATAGGGTGGTAAAACACTGCCAAACTTCCTTCTTTTCTATATACCTTCTCTTTGTTGCCCCTGATCCTCCAATCTTCCATTTTTTCTATCATTTAGACTTTCTGCCAGTTTGGCCAATGACCTTTGAGTCATCTGCTGCTTAGTCTTCCAGGCAAACACCAGCTGACCGACCAGAGATAGTGGTTTGGCTCTGCAGTGATCAGCATGCCCCGGATCATAGCCACTTGCCATTTTGACGACACCTATGTGAACTCTTGGTCATATTTAGTATTTCATCACTTTCCTTCAAGCGTATTTTTTAATTTAAATCAGTATACTTCAGAAGTAAATGTTATAGCTTCATTTTAGTAAAAAATTGCTATCATTTTAGTAAGTAAAAAGTAAATACTGTATAAAAATAATGAAATAAATACAAGAAGTCATAAAACAGATCATTAATACCTTACAATAAATCTTTTAAAATTATGAATAAATTCTTCGATGAGAAAGATGAAATTTTATCACCTTTCCATGACAAAAAAGAAAGACATGGCTCAGTGTACTAAGATTAAGAGGACAGTAAGGAGCTATGTCTATGAGGGTCAGTTACTCACAGGAGCCACACGGCCCGTGTCTGAATACAAGCTTCCTGCTCAGCAGCTGTGTGGCCATGGGTCAGTTTCTCAATATCTGTATGCCTTAGCTCCTTGTTTGTAAAATAGAGCTAGCTAATAATAGCACTAATCACAGACTTGTCTCTGATGAAAAATGAGCTATTACATGCAAAACATGACAGTACCCGGCACTTAGTAAGCTTCCAGTGTTAGCCATAATAGTAATTTGCAGTCGTAGCATTATAATTAATAACATTCATAGACTTAAAATTCCTACTCACTAGAATATAGAGTCAGATTTGGGATGTAAACATCATGTACTGCAAACCTGTGTGAAATAAAGGAAGGGCATTAAAGGATGGATGGAGAGAAGGGAGAAAGGAGAAAGGGGATGTAAAAAAGAGTAAGATGTATTATCAATTTTACACAAGGAAAGTAAACATTATTTACTACAAACACGTGGTAATAAAAAATTTAAGAACTGTTTTTCTCAGTGAGACTGGTTATTGAGAGTTAATTCGTAACCTAAATGATG